TAGTAAAATTATGTAATGAATATTTTTTGTTAAGACACGGAAGTTGATTTCATAAGCATAATTTTGAGTTATTTCGACTTTAAATTTTGATCTCTTGGTCGATTCTTTTTAAGTTTATGCTAATTATAATTTTATCTACTATTATGTACTTTATCAAACTCATAATGTAATTTATTGCACATTCGAATAGCTAACATTTTATCACATTTTCTTTCTAGACAATCCTAAATCTGTAATATAAAATATTACCATTGATATATCAATATTAATTCTGTAATATTTTATCACTATGAAAATTTTCATGAGTGTATTCAGCTTAAATTTTTCATCTAACTACATTGATGAAAATACTAATCCAAATTCCCTTTTGGCGATCTTTTGAACATCTTCTAATCTATTAAAAAGAAATCTATTCTATTACATTTTTATACATTACAACTTAAAATTGAAATTCTTTAATACAATTGTTGATATCTTTTATTTATTCATTCTTTTGAGATTAAATTATCATTTCGGTTGTAACATGCAATTTCTCTTCGGATCTTTTCCAAAGCCGAATTTTAGAATTATTTTGAATTCGTCTTCCTACTGATGTTGTATGTATTAATTGAGATGCAGGGATAACCTGGCTCTTTCTAGATTTAGTAAGCTGTGAAGTATCCCATTTGCTACTATCACTAGTAGGTTCATTTTCACTCAGACCAGATAGTATTAATTTCGATTTGTTATCTGCAGGTTCTTCAATAACAGAACTATATATATCTTCTGTTTTAGATTTCGGCAATGCTAGAACTTTAGCTTCTTCAACTACTTTTAAATCTTGATCTATCTTTTGAGTCGATTCTTCTGCGAGAGTTCCTGTTGACAAAGTAGGAATTGAACCTTTGCCATTAAACTTTTCTTCGATTATCGAAGATACACCATCATCAATATACGTAGATCTTTGATCTTGGAGTGAATCATATATGGCGTAATACGTGACTTTGTTTTGATTATTAAAAGAAATTAACTATTCTTATATGAAGAAGGATCTGAAGAAGGATCTAAGTTGAATTTTACAAGCTTCATTCAGACAATTACTCTTCTTTTTTCAGACTAAGTAAACTTTATGTGGTTTGTTTCTTTCTCTTTTTCTTTTCTATTAACATATTGACATACATATATGCTAAACAAATATTAATGCTAATCCCACAATTGTTAAGTATTAACTTAATTTAATATGATGTCAGGTCAATAGTTTCTAAAGAATTGACTTTTAGAGAATGGATCAAATACCACTATAGTTACTTTTATTCGTTCTTAATTAACTTCTTCGTTTTACTTTTTTTGTTTTTTTTTTTTACACTATACTATCAAGATCCAATTTTCGCACAGTATTTATTTCAGCATATACCCAGCCAGTACCAGGTCTAATTCGCGACTTACAGGCTGGACAAACCTCTCATTTTTGCATAGTACCTATTGCAACATATGATTCGCCAATACCAGGCTTGATTAACAACTTACAGACAGAGCACCTCTAATTTTGATAGTACAATTCTTTTCTTGTGGAAAGCTAATTTTATTATTATTTTTTTTAAGTTATATTTGTTAAATAAATTGATCAATATCATAATTATCGCTTGTTCAACTATGAATCCTCTTTTTTTTTTTTTAAATTATTCATAAAGATTGGAAGTGTAATCGTGAAGACCATAAAAACGATTGGATCGGAGTTATAAAGAGAGGAGTAATAAAGACGATAAGAGTCGAAATTGTTGTCAAGAGAGTCGGAGTTGAGATCGTCAGTGACTGATGAACTAAATTTATGAAGTTTATATCTCACAGTCACCACCGAATGTTACAGGGTGAATTGTATCCTTTGATATGTACAAATACGAAAATGTATAATTTAAGGTGATAAGGCAACTCGCCAGAGGCGTGACGATGGTGATTTAGCAATTTGTTTAATTTGTTAAATGATTTTATCAATGTGGTTTATTAAATGTATTAGGTTACAATATTAGAATCCCATAGGACCTACATTTACAAGAGAGAAATTACAGGATTTTTATAACTTTCACTATCCAACGATCTCAAGAGGCTTGGGGATAAATCAGATCTTTCATCACGAAAGATCAAGGAAGAATCACTATAACTAAGGGCTTACAAAGATAAGTACAACATGATTATAATAATGAAGGCTTTGCCTTTACAACATTTTATATTATTACTACTTCTAATTAATTCTTGATTCTTGTTTTCTTCTCTTTAAATCTTTGTTTGTTCTTCTAGGAATTCTTCTTCAGATTTACATAGGTTATCATTTCTGTTATTTAGCTAGTAAACCTCATATACTAGTTGATCTAGAATTCTGATAATCGATCTGCTTGATATCATGAGTTTACTGCACCAATTCATCGATTTTCTATTTAGCCCATGATATTATTAAAGACTAATTTATTTGTCTCTCTAACTTAAAACTCTCTTAATTATTAAAGACTATTGTTCTATTTATATTACATGATAATTGATCATGCAATATGTAAGTTATATAAACCCGATCCTAACCCAGTGCTACTAAATACGTGTCAACCAAATCTACTGTGTCACTATCTGATATTTGGTGCATATTGCTACCTATCGAATAGATATTGCATCTGATAGGCATATTAGTGATTTGGCACTTCTATTAACAATATATCAAATATCCGGTATTTAAAGATATAAGTATTAGATGTCTTATAGGCCTATCGGATGTAATATCTATTTGATAGATTGCAATATGCACCAAATATCTGGCCATTATCAGTTTATAAGCATCTGATATCTCTCTGAAATCTTATCAAAATTCTAAAGTTCAACCTGTGTGTGCTAATTTGTCTTTTACTCAAATTAATTTAGCCAATAGACATGACAATTACAGTTTACCCTCATTATAACATAGTGATTAGGCTGAGAAATTCTGCTTGTTATGATTAATATCCACTATAGCATTATATAGTATAATAATAAAAATTTTAAATTGTTCCAGAGAATTACTCTGTTATAATGAGGTATTCGCTATAATGGTGTTTGTTATAATGAGAGTGAACGTATTTTTAATCGAAACACTGAAATATGTAAAATAATTTATGTTTATTATTAATCTATTATTTGTGCTAATTTACTTAGTTGATTATTAAGTTTTTTACTAAAATTAATCTAAGTATAACTTGTATATTTTAAAATTTGGCCTTTTATGAATATAAAATGTAGAAAGCCAAGACATATTTGTTTAGAATTTTTATAAATTTTTTGTTTTTGTAATTTATTTTTTATTCACATTACCTTCAATGAGTTTCAACAACATTTATCTGTTTTTTCATCTTTTATTAGTTTTGTCACCCTTTGAAGTTTTATTGGTTTGTTGTCTTTCATCACCTTTCGCTAGTTTTGATACCTTTTATCAGTTTTAACATCTTTTGTCAGTTTCAACATAAAGTTGAAATTAGGTTTCGCCTTTTGTCAGTATGAAACCTTGAGGTTTTGTCTAGCAACTATACTCTAGTCTAGTAACAAACCAAATACAAATATTTTTTATATTTTGTATTATACTTGTATCATGTGCAAGTGCCTTAACCAATCAAATCGTATCATTTGCAGATTATACTTATCCAACAAATTAGGGGGATATCTAAAGCCATGTAACCATGTGACTTTTCAAAGTTTTAATTAAAATCAGAATTAGAGATAGTTTAACATTAGGATGATGTTAAGAAAAAAGCAAACTTATAGGTAAAATTGTTTCCTCAACATTTTTTGTTAGATTTAGACTGCGGTCTTCAAAATTTTGCATTTTATTTATTTTTAACTTCTTTGAGCAGATCTGTATAAACAAAATTTTGCAATCCTGATTGGTTAATTTACATACATGGGCTTTAGATGACCCATACAGATTTTCACTGATATGCAATCAAATCCTTAATTGTGATTGGCTATTCAAATTTTTAATTTTTTTAAAAATTTCTAGTAAAGGTTTCTCAATAATTACTTGATCAAATTTTTTTATTTAATTTTATATTTTTGTAAAATCAAAATAAAAATGATTTATTGAATTTGATTTAATAGTTATTGATAAATATTGAAAAAAAAAACTCAAATATCAAATAAAGCTAAAATTGAAATTTATTTAAATCTTTAAATAAAGATTTCTTAACTACCACCTGTACAAATTTGATAATTTTAATTACTATAAATCTATGAATTAAATAGGTGATTATTAAAAAAAATCTTTGTTTAAAGTTCAAAATAATTTTGCCTACATCTTTTTTTTATAGATACTAATAATTTGAATGAATATTACTTGACGATTACCTAACTAAATTTGATCAAGCCTTTTTATTTAATTCTATAAATCTATAGAATTAAAATGAAAAATTAATTGAATTTAGCTAGATAAGTATCGGGTAAGTTTCACTCAAAGTTTTAGTAGCTTTAGAAAAAAGCTGCAACCAAATTTTGGTTTGAATTTTAATAAATATTTCTCAACAACAATCTGTACAAATTTAATAAAAATTTCTTATTTTAATTCTGTAGATCCATGGAATTAAAATAAAAAAATTATTAAATTTGCACAGGTAGTTCCTAAGAAATCTTTGCTTAAAAGTTATTTTTTAAAAAAAACTTTTAAAAAATAAAATTATGATATTTATTTTAATTCTATGGATCTACAGAATTAAAATAAAAAATTTAATCAAATTTGTACAGGTGATTGTTGAAAAATATTTATTTAGAATTCAAATCAAAATTTAACAGTAGTTTTTTCTAAAAGGTACAAAGCTTTGAGCGAAACTTACTCGACACTTACCTAACTAAATTCTATCAATTTTTATTTTAATTCTATGGTTTCATAAAATTAAAATAAAAAAAGGTCGATCGAATTTGGTTAGGTAAGTGGAGTAATATTCGTTCAAAATTTCAGTACCTATTAAAAAACAGCTGCGGCCAAATTTTTTTTGAACTTAAACGAAAAATTTTCAATAATCACCTATTTAGATTCGAAAAAATTAAGATAAAAAAAATTTCATCAAATTTATACAGGTGGCTGTTGAGAAATCTTCATTTAAATGTTTAAAAAAAGTTTTTTCATGATTTTAGCTTTTTTTTTTCTCGATATTTGAGTTTTTTTTTTTATACCTTTACCAATAGCTTCTCAATAACCGTTAAACCAAATTCAATAAATCCTTTTGATTTTGATTCTACAATACTATAAAATTAAAAATTTTTATAATAACCAATCATAATTAAAAGGCTTCGAAGGTTCTAGATTGCTGATCAGTGAAAATCTGTCGGTGCTGCTGTGGTAATTGTCTGTCTGAGGTTACCCGCGAGCAGTGTTTAAAATTCAGATCAAAACCTACATGCACAATGCAGTTGTATCATAAGTTTTGATTGCATAAACCAACTACAAGCTGCACATGTGTGCATATAAATTTTATTTCTATATGCACATATTTATTACCTCTGAATAATAACATTATAAAATTGCAATACCAAGCATACCATATTATGGTTGATTTTTTGGAAAATTTAACCCAACCTTGCTAGTATTTTATATGTTCATTCATTTTTCTTTCAGAACTTTTCGGACTAACGCTATTCTATTTATACAGTATTTAATTTTTTTGTGCAATAAAATATTATACTTATTTAAATTTAATTGCACACTTGTGCGTTTGTATTAAGAACTTCTCTTGCACAAAAAAAACTACTTGCACATGTGCATCTTGTGCAAGGTAATTCTAAACACTGCCCGCGAGTAATGTACTTTTATTATCGAGAGGTTTCGGAATGATAGACATTCAGCAAACGTAAAATACAGCAAGGTCATCGGGATTTGATTTTTTTTAAAATTTTAACTTTTACCGATAAATTTTTTGGTTGATCCGATTTTACCCGGGTAATATAATACCTGTCTGGTGTGGGCTGGAAACGTGACCTGATGGCAGACACGTGCCCTCGGGTACTTCCTAATTTGGGATCCGTTAAAGGTAGTTCGCTAAAGCCTTGTACCCATGTGACTTTTTATATAGATCAGCCAATAAAAA